CACAGTAGGGGAAGGGGGAGCTGAGGGGTGAGCGGGGCGGTCGAGGAGGGCTCAGATCAGGGGGTTGCTGCCGGCCCCGTGGCGGAGGGGTTGCGCTGCGAGAGCCCAGGCTGCGGGGGGAGCGGTGCCGTGCGTGGGCCCGGTGGGCTCGAACGGACGCTGTGGCGGGGGAGGGCAGGGCCCGGCCCGGCCTCCCTTCGGACTCTCTCGTGGCCTTTCGTCGCCTGGTCGCTGCAGGAGCATCACCTGGTTACTTCCGAGGGAAGAAGCAGGACGGTGGGGTAGATGGTAGCTTTAGCAGACGAGGTCTTATTATTCAAAAAGTTGGTCATCTTAAGTAAACTCTTTGAGTATGTTTTGAGTTCCTGGAGAGGACACAGTTAAACACACCTTTGTTTTGCTGATAATGGATGAGGAAAGTCTGGAAGCAGCTATTCAGACCTACAATGCCCAGCTGCAGCAAGTGGAGCTGGCTTTAGGGGCAGGCCTGGACCCATCGCAGCAGTCGGACTTGATTCAGTTGCAGGAAGATTTAAAGCAGCTGATAGAACTGACTGAATCCAGCCTGGTATCTGTTAAAAAGAGCAAACTTCTGGCTACTTTAGATACAAATGCCTCCTCCTCCTCCCCAGCAGGTGCCCTGGAGCGGGACACCAACCCCGAGAGTTCTGCCCAAGATGAGGAGTATGCTGCTTTTAAGGAAGCCATTGCTGAGCTTGGAACCGATGAGAAGCCTTCAGCTCATAACAATGAGATATCATCAAAGAGAGATGAAGAAACTGATGACAAAAATGAATCAAAGTACAGTGAAGAGGAGGAGGAATCTGACAGAGAGGAGGAGGAACTGAGTGGGATGAAGGTTAAAGCCCCCTACTACAGCTCTTGGGGGACCCTGGAGTACCATAATGCCATGATTGTGGGAACAGAGGACTTAGAAGATGGCAGTGCAGGAGTCAGAGTGCTGTATCTCTATCCAACTCACAAGTCTCTGAAGCCATGCCCTTTCTTCTTGGATGACAAATGCAGATTTAAAGAGAACTGTCGGTAAAAAAGAAAAAGGGGTGGGAGGGGGCTTGTGTCCTTCCTGTAGCTAAAGGCCGTGTCCTCCAGAGGGATAAACCTCCTGTGAAAGTACCATGTTTGGCTTTTATACCCAATGAAATGTTGCCTTTTTGTTTATGTTTTTAAAAGTTGTTATGGTAGGCAGTGGCATTAGTTTGGCTGTTTTCTTTAGCTAATGCAGAGATTAAATGGAAAATCCCATGGGAAAGTTGCAGAGGTTTTACATAATGAATTGCGGCTAAATTAATAACTGATTAAGTATTTTAAAATAAAACACCAAAGCTGGTTGTTGATGGTGCTTACGTTCCAGTTGCATGGAGAGGTTGTAGAGTCTCCATCTTTGGAGATCTTCAGAACTGAACTAGATAAGGCCTTGAGCAACCTGATCAGTCTTTGAAGTTGGTTGTGCTTTGAGCAGGAGGTTGGACTAGGGACCTGCCTGGCTGTGTGATCCTGTTTATCTCAAAGGATTTGTGAATTTTTTTACTGGATGTGTCACTAGCAAGGAGAGCTTAATTCTGTGGGGTGACATGCATGCTTTATTACAGGGCCTAAATAACATATTTAAGATGAAAAGTGAGTAACTTGTGTAATTGAAATAATGCAGGATAAAACTTGTGTGATTACTGGTGAAGAATCATCACTGCTGACAACTTGTTTGCATTTCCTTTAAGGAGAAAAGGAATTCTTATTTAAAGCCTGCTCAAATGAGGTAGAGATAATTCCTCTTTTGCCTCCCCTGGCAGGTTTTCGCATGGTCAGGTGGTCTCTGTGGAGGAGCTTCAGCCATTTCAGGAGCCCAATCTGAGCACCCTGGAGGTGGGCTCAGCCTGCCTGGCGAAACACAGCGATGGAATATGGTACACTGCAAAAATAACCGGTGAGTCGTGTGTGAGTGTGCTTTGCCAGGATTCTGTGTGGAAGGTGAAGGCTGATGCTTAAGTGAATATAAAACTTGACTATTTTGGTTAACGATAGAGAAACGTTAACTATGTAGTGGCGTCCCTAAACTGAAAATCTTGACATAGCTTAGAAAACGGTCTGAATTTTGTCAGGATTGTGAAGGGAATAGGTTAGGAAACAGGAGGGCGTTAGACAAAAAGGAGACGTAGAGAGTGGGAATGTGGAAAGGAAATGACTGCATGGTCATTAACTGCACCAAAAGGGTAGAGGTAGGTATTGCAGGAATTTGTATGCATATTAGGTTAGAATTGCAATAATCTGCTCTTGTTTAAACAAAAATCCTGCCCATCAGCTGCTGATACAGGCTTCCCCATGTCCTGGGGAGGGTGAGGGTTTATTCTCTCTTTCCATCTTTCTTTGGCTATTACTAGGTCAGAGGGGAGCATGTCTAACTTCTCTTTAATTCCGTTTCTCAGCATCCCATCTTCATTTTTAGAAATAAACCTTTTAAGTATCAACACAGGCATTGTGGAAATAGCTTTTCATTGCAGTGGGTGCTTCTCCCTCCCAGACAGAAATATAAAGCACAAACAAAACCCACATTTTTTTAAAACGTGGACCTTGGGCCTTCCCCCTCTCCCATGTCATTCCACTGGAGCTAACTCTGTTTTAGAAAGCCCTCTGCCGGTTGCATATTGGAGACTTCCTTGAACTCTTTTTCCTTGCTTTTCCTTCTGTAGACATTGACAGTGGTTACTACACTGTGAAGTTTGATTCCCTGCTGCTCAAGGAAGCTGTTGTGGAAGGAGATAGTGTCATTCCCCCACTGCGAAGTGAAGATGGTGCCGAATCTGCTGAGTCTGATGAAGACAGTGTTGATGATTCTGGTTATGCTAAAGGTAAGAGAGTGGGGATGATGTGAGGGAAAGTGACTTGTGATCTAGGTCTGCCTTTCTCTGAGACCTACTGAATTACTCTCCTGGAGCTTTCATTTTAAGTATCTCACCTCATAAAAGAGTAGCTAATCTCTGTGTATGCTGCTGAAAGATAGAGAACAGTAATTAGCTATTATGTTACAATTGCAAAGCAAAATCTTTGGTTTATGCAATTTACTGGGCTAATGATGGTTGGAGGTTTCCAACACATGAAAGAAGGGGACGTGATATTTTAGAGCCAAGTTCCAAGCTCTGAGTCTGTTTCTTATGTAGCTGGCTGAGTTGAGCTAATAAGTGAGTCAGAATACCTCCTCATCTCTGGGAGCTGCGTGTAGCTCCATGACACACAGGTACGAGACCCCTGTAATTGTGAGTGGGTGGTCTTGCCAGTGCCTCGAGGAAGTTGCAGGAACAGTAATGCCCTCTTTTACTATTGAAAGCTGACACAGAGGGAGCCCCAGTGACTTCTTTGAGATTACATAGACAGCACTGTCCCTGTGCTAGTGCCACAGTTACGTCACAGGGACAAAATTGTGTCCTAGAGCTCTTTACGTTTAGCCTAATAGAGATTATTGGATCCTAATAACACCAAATTAGCATTGTGGCCTAGAGGAGCCTCATACCAGAGACATGAGCTGGAGGGGCAGAATAAGTATTGCATGCCACTGTGCCAAATTTTACTCTGATGGTATATGTCAGTCTGTATCACCATCCTAGAAGGAAGGAAAGGAAGCATGAAAACTCAATGGTTCTGCCTGGAACTATGAGATGGTATGTGCATTAGATCAAGTGAGATCTCTCATTTAAGTGACTCGCTGTGCAGTCTTCATAAAAGGTTACAGCTCAATAGGAACTAAGTAAGGCTGGAGGAGCAGCTGAGTGATTCTAGGGTGGGGGAAGTATATTATTCTACCTCCTGAGCGGTTTTCATGCTGTGTGGGTGCCCCAGATGAAGGTTTTGCATAGCAGCTTTGTTTCTGTGTTTCACTGATTCTTCTCTTCTGTGCCTCAGTGATAGATTCAGGAGTTCCAGAGAATGGGGAATGGACTCCTGCGTGCAGTTCCTCTTTTGGTGGCTGGGAAGCCCATACTCGTGGTATCGGCTCCAAACTGCTTGTTCAGATGGGATACGAGTTTGGAAAAGGTAAGAGGAGAAGGCGGTCCAGGTGGTGTTAGGGCCTCACTGCCTCATCATCTTAATCTCCTGATAGATCCTAAAGCTAGTTAAGAAAAACAAGATTTTTGGATAAAGCTAAAACTTTTCTTCGTTGAAGGGCCTGTTAGATAAGGCACAAGCTATGTGATGAATCACACCTGCATGGAAGTGTTAGAAGGAAAGAAGGAATAGCTTTTTAATTGAAGTACAGGCATGTGTGTGCACCAGCCCCTGTATGGTAATAGCAAAAATTGGAGGCATTTCGAACCATGGTCAAGTTCATGATTAAAGCCGTGAGAACTATTGTATGAGATGTTCAAAGGCTTTGGGTAGAAGGGAACTGATCTATGAAGCTTCTGATGTCTGTGTTAAAGCATCTCCTGGCTCTAGATGCAGACTTCAAA